ATCACAAATATAGAATCATAAGATCTTGAGCTTAGAAGATCTGTGATGAAATCCATAGAAACAGAAGACCATGGTTGTTCTGGTATAGGTAATGGTTGAAGAAGTCCGTAAGGTTGATGACGAGGAATTTTTGATCTTGAACAAATATCACATGATTGTACAAAGTCTTTGACTGACTTCCACATTTGTGGCCACCAAAAATCTCTTGATATGAGTTCCAAAGTCTTATTATATCCAAAGTGCCCTGCTGTTGGAAAGTCATGACGTGCTTGAAGAACACGTAAACGTGCTTCTCCTTCTGGAACATATAGGCGTCCTTCAAAATATAATAGATTATTCTTGAACTCGAACTTAGAAGGATCATGAGACTTGGAAGAATTATTCTCGATATCATAAACAAGAGGGTCTGAGGACATAGTGGACTGGATTTGCTTGAGAAAAGTTGAATCAACAGTCAATGTTGATTTCATTGCTCGGAGATGAAATTGCTCCGGTTTCAAGAGGACCGTTCTTTGTTGCTCAAAAGCTGCATCTCCTTCTTTTGGTGCAAAATAAGAACGTCTAGATAGGGCATCAAACAAACCTTGTTGTTTTCCTGGCCGATAAGTGATAATGAACTCGAATCTTGACAAAGACATACTCCAACGAGCTTGACGACGATTCAACACGCGTGCTGATATGAAATACTCGAGGTTCTTGTGATCTGTATACACAGTGACTCGAATAGAAGTGCCTTCTAGATAATGATGCGATTCTTGAAAGGAATCCACGATCGCAAGAAGTTCTTTATCGTGGATCTCATAATTGATCTCGGCTGCTGAGAATTTTCTTGAATGAAAAGCTATCGGATGGAGTTTGTCATCTGTTCCCATTTGTGATAAAACTGCACCCAAGGCAAAATCTGATGCATCTGTTTTCATAAAAAATGCCTTAAAAAAATCAACACGATATAAGACTGGTGCAGAGACAAACAATGTCTTGAAGGCTTCAAATGGTGCTTCCGCTTCTTGATTCCATTGGAATTTATCTTTACTAGTCAAGCATGTAAGTGGAGCTGCAACTCGTGAAAAATCTTTGATGAAGATCCGATAGTAATTGACAAATCCCAAGAAACATTGGACATCTCTTACTGTCCTTGGAATCTTCCAATCCATGATTGTTTGGACTTTCTTAGAATCCATCATGAGACCATCATTTGAAATGATGTATCCTAAAAAGTCAACTTGAGTAGTGTGAAATACACACTTTTCCATCTTGGCGTACAATCCTGCATCTCTAAGTTTTTGTAATACTTGACGAACATGTATTTCATGTTCTTCGACGTTCTTAGAATAGATCAGGATATCGTCTAGATAGCAGACGACAAAATTGTCTAAGAATTCACAAAATACATCATTCATGAGATGTTGAAAAGCAGCTGGTACATTCGTGAGTCTAAAGGGCATGACATTATATTCAAAATGTCCATACCTGGTTCGAAACGCAGTCTTCCATTCATCTCCTTTTTTGATCCGTATTAGATTATATGCTCCTCTTAGATCTATTTTTGTATAGATCTTAGCTTGATTCAATTAGTCAAGGAATCCTGATATCAAAGGTAATGGATACCTGTTCTTGATTGTGATCTTGTTGAGTCCTCGATAATCAACACACATTCGTAAAGATCCATCATTTTTCTTTACAAATAGAATTGGAGCTCCTGCTGGAGATTTTGAATGGCGTATGAAATTCTTCGCTAAATTCTCGTCAATATATGTCTTGAGTTCAGCCATCTCATCTTACGATAAACTGTAAATTGGTCCAAATGGTGGCTGAGTTCCTTCCTTGAGGTCGATTGAACAATCATATGGACGATGCTCAGGAAGAATATCTGCATTCTTTTTCTCAAAAACGTCTTGATACTCCTGATATTGACTTGGAATGCCAATTGAAGTCTTTACGTTTTCAGAAATAGGTGCAGCATAAATAGCAAAAGTTGATCCTTCTTTTGCTGCGTGTATAAATGCTTTTGCACCTATCAGTACGGGTTTTACTATACTAGATTTATAATTTTTTACTTGGTTGGTAGAACTATTAATAACGCTTTGGAAAAAGTCAAGTTTACGCGAATTCCAATCTATTCGAGGGTTATATTTTTCTAGCCAAGATAAACCTAAAATAACTGGATTGGATGGGAATTTAATTATGTTAAAAGCTATGTAGCTATCATGACTGTCTATTATTACTTTTATAGGATGAGTTTCATGAGTGACATCTCCAGAAGACAAGGGACGACCATCTATGACTTCTACATGTACTGGTTTAGGTTTCTGTACAAAGGGTATTTTACAACTTTTAACAAATTGTTCATCTAAAAAACATGCTGAGGCTCCCGAATCTAATAAAGCAGAGGCTTTGTAATTCTTAGGTCCTAAATATAAGTCTATTATAAAACAAGGAGAGGGTTCTGAGGAGAGGATATGACCTTCATTAGGAATTGTACAAGGTTCCAGCTGCACGGTCTCTATTGTAGCTGGACGAATCCGTTTTCCGACATGTTGTCTTCTTTGACCGTCATACCCCTCATTTTATAGTTGCGTCGTTTCTTTGGATAATGTTGAGCAGTGTACTTAGGTTCTCCGTAATATAAACATAATCCTTCTTAACGACGACGAATCTTTTCTTGCTCAGTTAGGGATTTAAAACGTACCGCGTCAATTTGCATGTCTTCTACTTCTGAATGTACGTTTGGCAAAGATGTTGATGTTGCCATTGAGTAATAACATTGATGTTCCCATGAATGATTCTTGGATCGAAATTCGAAAAGTTGATTATCACATTTTACCGCAAAATCGATTGCTTGACTCAAAGTTTGAGGATCAGGTAAGTTGAGCATCAATTTCTTTACTTCATATTGCAATCCATAAAGAAATTGACTGATGAGTGCAGCATCATCCCACTTGATGTCAATTGCAAGTTGTCAAAATTGTGAAGCATATACTGTTACTGAGCGATTTCCTTGTCGCAGAATTCGGATCTTATTTGTTGCAACACGAGTTGCATCGTGTTCACCATACATAGATCGAAACTCTACCAAAAAAGCTTCCAAATTGTCTAATATTGGATTTCGTTGTTCAAGAAAAGATGAAAACCACGATAATGCAGAACCAGAAAGTAGAGTGCCAATAAACCTGACTTGTGATCCTGGAGTTGGATAGCTTTGCGGTTGAAGTTCAATTGCCAATTGTACTTGATTGATGAACCCTCGAAACTTTGATCTCATACCATCAAATTTCTCAGGTAAGGCAATTCTTGGTTCTCTAGTGCTTATAGGGTGTTGTACAATTGGAGAAGGAACGTGATTTGTTGTAGATATTGAAGCAGCTCCGATCATCTCTATATCTCCACTTTCTGCTATTCTTGTTCTTTCCTATGTTGGTGAATTGAGTTGATGCATCGCAAGCATTAACTCCCTTATTTGCTCTTGCATTTGTGCCATTGCACTCTTCATTTCAACAAGCTCTGCCATAATGACACTAAGAAGAAAAATTTGTTTGATATTGCTCAAGACAAAAGAAAAGAAAGACTTGATAACAAAGAAGATACTAAGAACAATATCAGTTTAGAAGTGGGTAATCCGCAAACTTCTAACACACTTATGTCTTGTCAAGAGAAAGGGGTAATCCACTCTTACTCAAGAAAAAACAAAGCTCTGATATTGTAAGTGTACTCTTGTCAATTTGTCAAGGACAAAGACTCGATGAGGAAAAATATACACCAAAAGGCTATCTCGATATAATAAGTCAAAATATAAACAAGTAGGTATATTAAAAAGAAACTGGAATGGCTATTGCCACAAGACAAGAAACTAAAGACTCTTGAACCTGGACTAGAAGCAAGAAAGGAGTTGACAAGAGTGAAGAAGCCTTCACTCTTATCTCTATATATACTATCTAACTAAGGGCTACGTGGCGACGTTCTATAGGACCTCCAATATGTGTTGACTTTGTAGGACACATGCCTTGACTTACAAGGTAAGTTTTTCTACGTGTGGGCTACATAGTTAGCTTGATCTTCAAGCTAACAACATGTGTGGCACATGGCCAACTTGTTGACCACGTTTCTAATCCAAAAAGTCAATTAAAGACACCTATGAAGTCAAAGCAGCATCTAGGAAGTTTCTAAGAAGCTTCTATATTAAATATTATAGAATTAACTTACTTTTATCTACTTTTACTTACTTCTACCTATTTCTATATATAATTATTAGCTTACATGATTATGGCCGTGACACAATTGCCTCTTGTAGACAATTTTTCCATTTAGAATCATCTTGTAAAAGTCCTCTTGCAATACAAGCGGCCTTGTACGTTGGATATACTATATCATGAAAACAAAGTAGGTCCTCAAATTGAAGTTGGTGCCTAGACATGAGTCAACAACAAACGCAAGTAAAATACTTTGGTACCTATGGGAACCATGTTTATTCGACCAAAAACTTTTATCTTACGTACTCTTCTTTCCCACATGTTATTCTTCACATCCCACTTGTAATAGAGTGGAAGATCCATGTAACAAAGAAGCATATGGTTGCCTTGATTGCCAGAAGCAATTAAGGCACGAATATAGGAATTAAGCTCAAAAAACTTGGTGAGTTTAGTCTCAGCATTTTGATCAATCACCGAGTGCAAAGATGTTCCTTCCTTAAAAGTAACATATTGCTGACCGGGAAGGTGAACAGGCAAACGACAAATACTATGGCTCTTATTATTAGTTTCAAAACCAAAGAGCCTCCAACATGCTTCTTGGGCGGCCACATAACGACCCTCCAAGAAATCCTTAATCTCATCTACCACTTCATCTGTTTCTACAACACCACGATTTGGACCTTTAAAAATATACTTGTGGAGGTATTTGATAGTTTTTACAGAACTGCAAATTTCCACATTAATGTGACAATTAAACCGACCTATCAAATATGGATTGTATGGCACAACCCATCGATTGTCTAAACGGACAATTTATCCACGTACACGTTTCTCGATATATCGACCTTGATTTTGACGACGGTACAAAACATGTCCGTCACCATCCACCTCGGTAGTATCTCGAGCTTGCATCAGATAGTTCTTTGTACATCTATCATCTTCCATGCATGGACAATTGGGATTGTCCAAACCACATGGTCCATGCATCATGTGCTTGGCAACCACGGCATACAATTGCGGTTGTCTATTTAAATCGAGAATCTCCGTACATACTATCCTATCTACAAGGTCACAGTCATTGACCTTGTCTTTCAACCAAAGAAGAATGTGTGCATGAGGAAGACCACGTTTTTGAAACTCAATAGTGTAACAAAAAGCAATTATCTCTCCCATGACATTCTTCTTCGTAATCTCATCCATCAATGCTCTTAACTTGAACTCGAAAATACACACAACAATATCTGAACGATCAGGAGGACTTTGACCTGGCTCAAGCTCATCAAAAATCTCACGCCAGGTCAGATTACATGTCATTGTCACAAACAAATCGGATTTTCTTAAAACTCTAACCAAAACCATACTATCATGAAAGAGTTTTTGCATGTATCGGGGAAAACCAATGAATGTTGCAGGTAAGACAATGCGACGTCCAATGCATGCTCCATTGTCTTCCTGCAAAGCATTTACGACCCCCTGATAGCACTCTGCACGAAGTTCAGTTTGATGTTGCCTAATGAAAAACAAATTTTCATGTTCTACACGTAAATACTGATCCACTACATATTGCTGGAATAATCTACTAGCCTTATGTAATACATTAGATTCTGGGCGCTTTTGAAGCAAATATTGGACATATGACTTTAAAGTCACTCCAATATCTGCTTTAAAAGTTGGTGACCACCCACATCGCCCATCAGGAAACAACAAAGGATAGGATAAAGCATCGTAAGCTGGATGAATTTTTTTTATTCGTATTAAATCTCCACCACGTTGGTGAAGAATAATATCTCTACCAAAATTCATGTATTGTTCGTCAAGAACAACAACAGCAACTTCTGGAACTACTTGGCGATTATATCGACGGGGATGTTCACCAAAAGGAACCTCACCGGAGATACGAAGTCCCATGTTTTGTCCCCTTTGAAGAACATCATGCAAAGACTTAAAACCACGAACCAACGCATTTATGGATTCTAAAACTTCTTGAATGTTGTTAACAACATCACGATGAAGATCATCAAAAATCTCCATACGACGATTTGTTTGTAAACCATCATCTAAGAAATAAATTTGTGCAAATCTAGCACCTTCATCTAAATCGGGTTGTAAATTTCCAATGTGATGGCATAACTCTCCGTTCACACGAAAAGTATATACCCCTCTACCTTCAACTTGGCCAGACTGAAACTTACTATGCATACTTGTAAATGCAAAAGCTTGATTATACTTTCGAATGGACTTAAGGAACTCTCGAGATTTAGGTGTTGTGCCCATATAAAGCTCATTGAGCATTAGATGGACAATGGGGTGATTAACATGTTCATTGGCAATTTTGCCATTGTAACAACAAATGGTATTTTTTTCTTTTTTAAAACGAAAAGCCAAACATTTTGGACATTGGATGCACATTGATCCAACACTATCAACATTGACATCTATAAAATTATCAATGGTAGACAAAGCACGAGCCATTCTCTAGAAAGATGACAATATAATAAAAAAAAGTGGAATTTAGGATAGGACAATGAAGACCCTATCATAAATTCTAAACTCCACAAAGATAAAAAGATATATCAATAAATAGGATTTAGTGTAGGATAGAAGAAATCCTACCCTAAATCCTAAACTCCACAAAGATTGAAAAAATTGATAAGAAAAAGCAGAGTTTAATTTAGGATAACAAAAATCCTAACGTGAATTCCAAACCATTTCAAAACTCACAAAAGTAAGGTTTTTGATAGTACCTTTGTAAGCTTGTGCTCCAAGAAAGTTGCACCTTTTGATGAAATTTCACTCCACTCTAAAAAGTTTACATTCAATGCACTACACTTCAAAGAAAAAAAATAGATTATGTTGGCGCTTGCTTTGCAACACATTCGTAGCCAAGAGGTATTGGTCTAACACACAAAAAACATGCATGAAAAAAAATGTGATAAAATCCAAAATCAAAAATTAACAAAAATTTCAATCTTTCAAAACCTTTCAATCTTTCACAATCTTGCAAAAATAACAATCTCACCTCAAATTTCTTGAACAATCTCCACAACTTGAACTTTGTAACTCCAACTCCAACTCCAACTTTGTATTCAAACCTCTAAGATCACATCAACCAACTCCAACTCCAACTTTGTATTCAAACCTCCAAGATCACATCAACCAACTCCAACTCCAACTTTGTATTCAAACCTCCAAGATCACATCAACCAACTCCAACTCCAACTTCACAACTTACAACTTCCAACTTACAACTTCCAACTTACAACTCACAATTTACAACTCAATCTTGAAGTGCACAATCCAAAAAATGTTTTGAACATCAAATTTGTAATCAAGAGCTTCAAAATTGTAATCAAGAGTTTCAAATTTGTTTTGGGTAAGCTCAAATTGTAACACACACTTTGAATTGCACACACCCACAAACTCAACGTTCAAATTTCAAAACCGCGCAGTAATAAACGGAGCAGTCAACCGCGCAGTCAACAAAAGTAAAAGTAAAAGTAAAAGTCATAGCCATAGTAAAAGTAAAAGTCACAGCAAATATAAAAGTAAAAGTCACAGTAAAGGTAAAAGTAAAAAGTCACAATAAAAGGAAAAGGAAAAGGAAAAGTATAGTTGACTTTTGATAGGGCTTATGATTTTAGTAGTATGATATACATGTTTCTTTTTTAATTTTTTATTTAATAATATTTTCTTTACATTAATTTAATAAACTTCTAAGTCTATTATTACTCTAATAGCTATAGTTTTTTTAAGGATAAAAAATGGCAACATATAAAAAGATTTTATCAAAATCTTCATTCTTGCTTGTAAAATGTTTTACTAATAATTTTAATTTATATCATATTTTTATCCAATGAATCCTATTTGGTATAAAATAATAATTTGAATCAAAGACTTATTTAGTTTTGAAGTAATTAAGAAAATTTCTATTTATTATCATTGATAAAGAATTTTTTTCAGTCTTTTATAGTATCTTGTCACTTATTTTTGTAGAATTCATGGCTTAATACATTATCAATAGATCAACAAACAAAGCCATTGACAATGTGATGAAGTTATTGATTCTAATAGTTTATATCTTTTATATGTTGTGATTCTTTTAGAATTTCTCTATTTATTTTTAGAAGTGTTGAAGTTATGCTAATTTAATTAAAAATAGTTTTTCATTTTATTTTTTTATATTAAAATTTTCTATTAAATTAATCAAAAAAATATTATTAAATTAATTATTTTTTGCACCTTTTATGCCTTGGATGCCTTCTATTCTATCTATTTTTTTAAAATCTATACTATAGATGAATGATTTATTTTTCTAAATTAACTTAAATTTAAATTTATTTATGTACTAAAATATATTTTTATATATTAATTAATTACTTTTATTTTTTTATATACTGATTTTTTTTTAAATGCTATTAGATTAATAAAAATAAAAACTTTTTAAAGTATTGATAAATAATAAAAACTATTTAAAGTATTGATAAATAATATTAACAAATTAATATTATATTTATCGATAAAATAATAGCAGTCCAACGTATCCTTAGTAATACAAGACTTACTTCTTTTTGAAATAAAATTATGTTTTAAAAAATTAATTAATTTTTACTTTATACAAATAATAAAAAAATTTATAATATTATATAGATAACATCTTTAGTAAGAATATTAATTTATACCAATATTTATTAATTATATAGAATTTTACTTAAGTAAAATCTACAATAATAATAATAATTATTATTATTATTATTATTATTATTATAATAAAATATTTATTTGGTTTTTATATATTTTTTAAAATAAAATAATAAACTTTAAAAAAATTAAAGAAATTATATAAGAACACAAATATTATATTAATGAGTATATAAAAAAAACCATTATAAAATATTCTAAATGCACCAAAAAAATGTTATAAATTATAAAAAAATTAATATTAAATACTTATATAATTATATATACATATTTATTTATTTGTTTATTTGTTTATTTATTTATTCATTCATTCATTCATTCATTCATTGAAATAATTCAATTAATAAAAATCCAATTGCTGACAAATTCATTTCCAAAGCTATTATTTGAAAACAATTAAACAGACTACTTTTGTTGCTACACTCTTTAGAATATCAAAATAAAAATAAAGAGTTTTATAAAATATACGTTATTTTTGGAATAAATTATAAGATATGATGCACTTAAAACCTTTTTTTTAAAATCTTATTATATAGAAATATTCTTAGTAGTAGATACTATATTAAAGAACTTTTTAAATGTGTTATTTGATAAAATTGATGAATTTATGACCTTAAAGTTAATCAAATAATTTAATGGTCTTTTATATTTATAGAATATTATTGATTTTTTTACATCCTTCTAATAACATAGATTAAATTTTATAATAAATATTTTGTGATTTTAGATTTATTTAATTATAATACTATTTAAAATTTAATTACTTTAAATAAAATTCTTCACAAAAATATAAAATAATATAAAATAATAATATCATAGATATCTATAATACTCAAGTAGATAGAAGTGAGTAGAAAAATCTAAACATTCAAATGTGAATTATTAATTTATTTTTTGATTTTTAATTTTATTTTAAGATCCTTAATTTTTTTGTACTTAGCAATAACTACTTTCATACCTTTTATCTTATATATGTATTTCTTGATTATATATATATATATATATCTCTTTTAATCAAATATACTTAAATTCGTAAACTTGAGATGTTAAATTAATTTTGGAATGATATTATAAATTCTATAACTATAAAGATAATTATTTTTGATATATATATATATATAGATTTTTTTCTATTCTGAAAGAATGCTATGTACAAAAGTTTCAACAGTCATGATCACTTATACCAAAGTTTTATGGTCAACTACTAAGACTAGCATTATACACAATTCAAATATCCTTGAAGTTTTATAAAACAAATTGACAAAAATTGGAGTATAAATAATATGTATATTTTAGCAATTATGTTTTTCTCAAGATTGATTTTATAAAACCATGTATTATCATTCCTTTAACATGCTTATTTATTTCAAATTCCTTCTAATCTTAATCCTTAATTGGATTATCATCTCTATAGATTTGCATTAATTTCTAACATGCTTAAATAAATTCCATTTATTTATAAAAACTCTATTTATTCTAAAAGAGAATATATATATATATATATATATATATATATATAATGAAGAATATTAAATACACCAAATTTTTTATTAAATCAATCCATCCATCTTAACCATCATACCTAAAAAAAAAAAAAAATTACAAAAAGAATAAAATAAACATAACAAGATCCTAGATTCATTTACTATTAGATTTGCATCCAATGAAATCCAATCATATTTATCATGATTATTATATTTTTTATTAAGGATGGATCAATTTAGTAAAAGCATGAATCTATTTAACAGTCTTGTCTATGTATATGTATTTATAATAGAAATTTATTAAAGCAACACTTTCATATTATTAAAACAACACCCCCATATTGTTAATGCGACACTTCAAAAGGTATTGTGTTTGCTCGCATTTTGATTTCTTTTGGAATCACACTTTGTAATTCCTTTCAAAAAACATTGGAAAAATCTACCACTCTAGTATATTCACATTTGGGTGGAGGAAGCATTTGGAAGTGAAGATCTAGTGTGTATAGCAACAAGGGAAAGCAGGAGTAAACACAAGTGGAGAGCAACGGGAGGAGAGCGGTGGGAGAGAATTGGAATAGACACAAGTGGAGAGCAGCATGGGAGAGAGCCGTAGGGGAGAGCATTACGAGAGCAGGAGTTGAGGGTTGGAGTGTACCCACTTGGGGTGTCGCTAAAGCAACTCCCCAAACTATGTTGTAAAATTTTACCAGTCTTGTTAATTCACGTGGTGAACCTTTTCCTCTTCCAGGAACTTTAAAATATAGAACCGAACAATCGCAAAGCACGCTCACAGGACGGAATAGCCCTCGGTTTCAGGTACAGCAAGAGGAGGAGGGCCCTAAGAGCGAGAGGAAGAGTCCAGGAAGGGTGGTGAAAGAAAGGTGAGGGGTGGGGGGAGACGCCTTGGTGTCCGAAGGGGCTCCACACAAGCCCTAACCCTGCCTTCCCCCTCGCTAACCCTGGCCTGGCCCCTCTTTTGCTCCTGCTCCTCCTTGCTCTTGCTCTTGCTCCTCCTCCACCTCGGCCTCGTCCATTGACGGCTCTCTCGATTCTCCTCTGCCCCCCGACGGACCATCTCCCTTCTCCCTCTCTCTCTCCCTCTTCCTTCCACTGCCTGCCGGCTTCCGAACCCGCAATTGATTGACTCTCACACGCACCTACCCACTACAACTTCCCTTTCAGGTATTCAATCTATCTGCCTCCCTCTTTCAGGCGCTGTTGGGTTCATGAGTTGGTGCTACGAGTTTCGTTCTCATTCGGGCGAGTGCGCGTAGTGGACAAGCAGCAAGGGTATATTTCTCTGATTTCTCTGGAGGTGATGTTCGTGACGTGCTAGGGTTTTAGAGGGTGGCTCGTGTCGGTGGTTGTTGTTATGTATTGCAATGGTGTATGCTGAGTTGGCTGGTTTTTTCATCTGGTTTTTATTGGCGTTTGTTGTGAGAGTTGTGTTGTTTGTGTCGATCATGCATGTGACATGCTTTTACTAGTAATTTGTGAGGTAGTCTCGTTCTGATGATTGGTAGAATGATGTTTGGGTTCTCTTAAGGGTTTGGGGGTTTGTCTGGGTTTAGTTTGTCGAGGCAGAGTAGGGTGAAACACTTGGGGTCAAGAGAGCTTTAGCGTCGGAGTTACAATTCATAGTCCGAGGATGTTAATGTTCCATGTATTTCCTGACAACTTTGCCAAACTTCTGGTTATACCCTAATTCGGCTGCATTTCATTCCGTTCACATGCCTACAGTAGTAGACTATCCGTACCCGGTTTCTGGTATTTTGCATGTTCTTGGAACCGTAGGAATTGTGCAATTGGAGTTAGATTTGCGGCTGTGATGGAGTTTCCCGTTACGTTTTCCCTCTCGCGGGGTTTTTTCTGTTTCATGTGTAATTTCTTCTGAATTTGTTATCGAATGGTTGTGTTTCTCATTTGTAGTCAGGATTTTGTCGAAGTCAGCATGGACCAGAAGAAGAGGAAGTTGGAAGACTCGCCAGTCACGATTGTGAAAGAAGAGCATGTTTCTGCAACTGGTGCACCAGCTGCGTCTGTTCCTACTTTCGTGATCACGAAGGAGGACGTGAAGAAGCTGGTGGAGCCTTTTACCAAGGAGCAGTTAATGGACTTATTAGAGAACGCTGCCCTTAATCATGCAGGTTACTTTCTTTCCAATTATCTCTTATCCTGTACCAGGCCTTGGATGTGGTATTGCATTTTGATAATAATGAATGGACGCAAAACAAGGCAGAAATATTAATGGTGATTGCGTGCATGTGTTTCTTGACGCATTCACACTTACTCGTTGGGTGCTACTGTTGGCCTCTGCAGATGTCCTTCATGAAATTCGCAAACTAGCTGACAAAGACCCTGGTCATCGGAAGATTTTCGTGAGGGGACTTGGATGGGATACAACTACTGAGACTTTGAAAACAGTGTTCTCACAGTTTGGAGAAGTTGAAGAGGGGGCAGTTATCATGGACAAAGCAACTGGAAAGAGCAGAGGTTTTGGATTTGTGACATTCAAGCACATGGATGGTGCCCAACGGTCACTGAAGGAACCTAGCAAGCGAATTGACGGACGGATGACGGTTTGTCAGTTGGCATCAACTGGGGCTCTGCAAGTGAATCCCAATCAAGAAGTCTCGCAGAGGAAAATTTATGTCGGCAATGTACCCCTTGATCTTTCTGCCGATAGGTTGCTTGCTTTGTTCGCAGGGTATGGGGAAATTGAAGAGGGCCCTTTAGGATTCGATAAATTTACCGGACGCTCACGAGGATTTGCTTTGATTATCTACAAGACGGTTGAAGCTGCTAAAAGGGCATTGCTAGAGCCAATCAAGACTTTAGATGGTATTCAAATGTATTGTAAACTAGCTGCAGAGAATCAGAAGCAGGGGCAGGGAAGACAAGGCACTGCAGGGAAAAACGACAGTGACATGATGATGGGCAGGCAGCAAGTAATCTACTTCACCCGTTACGTTCCTTCAATGATATGCATTATATTTGGGCTGAGGCTACCCTGCATCCTGGAGCTGATAGACCCATTTGTTTCTTCTCCTGTATGAATGGTAGTGAAAGTAGTCTGTATGTTCATACTTTTTTGTTGCTTTGCAAATGTGCAGGTGTCCACTCCTCAGTCACTCTCAAACGGACAGAACTTGCCATACGGCTCCATGAATACTGGTCTAATAACTACCGGAATTCCTCTTAACCAGGGTGCGAATCAAGGAATTAGCCAAGGAAATCATTTAGGCCTTAGTGGCCACAATCAAGGTCTTAGTGGCTTGAACAGTACCTTGAACCCGTCCCTCAACTACCCACTGAATTCATCACTATCTTCAATAGGACAGTTATCGAACCCCTCGTTAAACAATTCTTTTAACTCCAGTCTCCCACAAACATCCCTTGGAATGGGATCCTATGGTTCACAACTGGGTATGTCTCAATATGGAGGTCAACCATCTGGTCTTGGTGGGCAGCCTACGTACTCTTCGATGAATGGGGTTTTGTATGGATCAGCAGCGAACTCAGTAGCTTCTCAGCAGGTATCTATGTATATTTAAACTGATCCTACGCTGTTGATTATGGTGCAGTGTGAATCCACTGATTAGACTTCTTTTCGTATTGTATTTCCTTTAAAGAGGTTTAGGGTTGGTTTGAACGTTTGTTTTAACTTAGGAGGACTTGTTTATATAGAACTTACGTGGCATTGTTCATTTATTTTACCTTACCTTTGCTTTAAAATTCTGTGTTTCTCAGCAAGCAGCGCTGCAGGTAGCCGGAGGTCATTACGGATATGGGTCGTATCAAAATCCTCAACTTCCTGCCTCATCTGCTCCTCGTGCTCCTCCTGTTGGAAATATGTATTTGCCTTCTAGCAATTACGGCATATGAGGTTAGTAGAGATTTCATTCATTCCTTTTGCATTTGGCTGCTTTCTGTTCATGTCTCGCTCTTGTTAAACTTGATTAGTTTCATCTCTGTTCTCAAACATGAAAGGTGTAAGCGTTTGTGTTAATCGTGACATACTCTTGCTCTTCTTCCTCTTCGAGCATGAAGATCAGCGAATTTCTTTGGTTGTCGTCGTCCTACTTCCACCTGTTTCTCAATTGGTTGACGTGATGAAGTATAAGTTAAGTGTATTGAGTCTATTTTAGCATTTGGATTTTGGTTTGTTTACGTTTCCCTCAGGACTTAAGTGTGATAAAGTGTAGTTGTCTAGTAGCCCCTTCTTAGACGTGTGATATTTTTGAGTTTCTGAAGTTATTCTATGATTTTCATTACTCAGATAACTCGGCCTGCTATCGTGAATGTCCATTGTTTTGATGGCATGGTGTATCTGGACTTCAGAATTTTGATGGTGCTGCCGATTCACTCTCGTTCTTCGCCCGTCATGTCAACAACTAGTAGGATATCTTGGAGATGTTAACATTGGCTGAATCTCCACTCTTGTGAAGTGGGAAGTCTGTTTGTATGATGGACGTGTTTGAGCCACATCTTATTCTTGAGACCCTGCAACTGTACCTTTCCTGGAGGGTGGTGCCTTTTATGTACATGACTCACTAGATTTGGGTTGTACGGAGTTTCATGATATGCCTGTAGGTAGACACTAGACACGCAAGTGACGTTAGAGCTGGTGCTATTGGAGTCTTTCTCTGGAATGCTGTTTCTTATTTTTGTGGTTATTTTAGTACTCTTATTGCGAGACCAGCATTGACAAAGCAACATTTTATGATGAGGCATAGATTTGCAGAGTGAGAGATACGTTAGAGTTCAGCATTCCTATTTTTGAGGAACTTGGGTTGCTTGTACTTGAAACTATTTTTGAAGGTTCTGCACTTGTGTGTGCTGTTTTCTAAATTGAACAACTGTGGGGTTGCAAAATGAGATATGTTGAAATGTTATCGTCTTTCCTTTCAAAGCTCCGAGTCTGTCTCTTTTACGTCTGAAAACATTATGCACATATTGTGTGACTGCTAAATCCGAAAGTTTGGATTATGAAAAAAATTCAGCAGTGACAATTGTTGCGTCTGTGATGTACATGTCTCTGATTTCTTTCTATGTAATCTCGAGTCCTTTTTTTCTTTTCTTTTTTCTTTTTTTTGAGTTTTTGTGATGTGGATGGTTATGGTTATTGCACATTTATTGGACAAAAAATGTGCGTTCGTGAGAGATCAGAATTTAGTACTTAGGATTATGTGTCTTTTCTAACGTTTTGGTGCGGATTCAAGCCTTTCGACCTTATAAGTTGGATTTTTTGTCACATGTTGCTGTGGAACTTTATCCGATTTGTGATATTATGAACCCATGAATGGGTCTTTCATTTGTTTGAGTGGTAGAACTTGGAAGTGGGTGACGTGCAGATTGACAGCAGGCCAAAATTGAAGGCATATAACATGAAACAAAAATGCCCCCAAAAAATGACAGAATCAAAGACTGAAGTATGTGCTCGCTTCGCTTCCGAATGCTAATAATTGTAATCTCTGTGACACTAATAATCTTCAACATTATGTACGTTATCAATTTGCCCCATCAAATACCAGGTTCCACCTCTGGTGTTGGTGAATTTCTGCTGTTGTTAGTGAACGAGAGATTATCATGAGGGAATCTGCATGCCTGATGGACTGAACTGTTGAGGATATTTTAACAAGCTTCAGCGTGTTCAGGCTATGAAGTGATCGCTTGGCATGTTTTCTTTCAAGAATCTGCTCATTACCTACTTGATTCTGTACTTGAGAACGGGTAGCAGAGACTTCCACTCAACTGCTTCGAATGTGTCCCTAATTGGCAGCAATTGATTGAGCCTGGGATACTAGATGCGAGTTGTACTATAAGAATGGTCTCAAACATGAGTTTTTGAGCCTTGCACTAGTGGCCTTCTTTGCGGAGACCCGCTGTCTAAGACTCATGCTGTTAATCTGAATGTCTGCTGGCTCACGTTGGTAATTATTGAGGTGAAGTGTGGGGACGTCCCTAGACTTAAACTGGTGGCTCACGTTTGGATTCTTAGCATCTGTGGAGATGAGTAAGAGCATATCGGCCACGAGGGTGCAGATTTTCTTAGGACGTATATATGTTGGGCTGAGCGCTTTCCTTTTACTGTGCTTGCTTGGATTGTATTGAGATAAAGTCGGGCCAAGCCTGTGTGCTTTGTGAGCATGCCTCTGAGTACCGGACTGGAGTGGCAAGAGTAAGCGATTGAGGTATGCTTCATATCATGTCCATTATATGGTTTTTTTTCGTTATTTTGTATGTCTGCAATTATGTCGCTGACCCAGTGAACTACCGTTGATAGGATTGTGAACTCTTCCTTTTAATGGAGTTTTTCACTTTCGCCATATGTTGTTTCTTAATTCGTGGACTTTTACCACATACTGACGTGGCTTTTTGCCAGTACATTAGATGCGTTGCGCCATAGTGGTTTCTGTGATTGACATGGCTTATTCATGGAATGGTAGTTTGTGGATACAAGTAAGTGGCTTGGTGCTTCATGGTCTTTTCATTTTTATTTTGCGTTGAGTCTGATACAACCTAGAACTTCACCATTATGACTGTTTGTTGAATTTTACATTTTATTTTATCTTTTGGATTTGCTTTTGTTTTGTACAATGATGTGAATTGTTTATTAGATCTGTTCTAATTTTCTTTGAAGCTTCGGTTTTGATGAGTTCCTTGATTATCTTTTTAGTGGATCGTTATTGAGATTTTTGGTTCTGTTTTCTTCTCATTTTGTTGTATTTTGGGTGAGATATTTTTACACGCTGTAACTGATCGATGAATTGAAGGACAGTACTTTTTTGTTAGCTGGAGTGTCTATTTACTACTAATTACCAGTAGTCTGAAAATATAGCTTTGTGCTTCATTTAGTTCAGTAGCAATATCAGGTTTCTGTAGATATTTTCACTTTGTAGGATTCCATTTAAAATTCCTTGTTCCTGATGCTGTAATGTATTGTTGATTGTACTCTTTGGTTGCTAGATCTCGTTTGACCTGCATGTAAAATTTTCTCTACCATTATCTTTAGTCCGTTAAACATTTTTCTCATGATTTTTCATGTTGCAGGCAGGAATGCAGGCAAGGCCAGGCTGCAATTGGGTAGCTCATTATTTTGATGTGGGTTCGATTCCCATTGGCCTTACATCGGTGATAGTGATATAAAGTGGTATATATGCCGTTCTTGACTTGATGAGTCAAAAAATAACTGGGGAGTTGCCAAATGGTGGTATCTGAAAAGTAATTTATCTAGAACCTTTGTCACGATTTTCTGGGTGACTTGTTGACGGGAATGAGAGACGTATCTGGTGCTGATCATCTTGGATTTGCGACACCTTTGTATGACGTCGACATCATGTGATACTCTTAAAACTGTTTGATTGAGGTGAGTGCAGTTCTGGATTGAATCAACTGTCGCATTAGCTGATTCTCTTATCACAATGCTCGAACCCTTGGAAACATCTTATGAAAGCCTGTTGGCGAGCAATGAGTTTTCTACGAATGTGCAAATTAAACTTCGCTAGTTAAGTAGTTGCAAATTTGTTAACCGAACTTTGCCATCGGGCATGAGTATCAAAGATGCTATATGAATTACTTCTAGCAGTGCAACTCTTTTTCTACCCACACAACTGTAGGCAATCTTGAAATACAGGATAGTAGGAATAGTTTCCAGAGGTCTGCATACATACATCTTCTATGCTGGTATTTCTGGAATTATTAAAAATGTGTAAATGTATTTTACCGTGGTCAAGTTATCAAATTATCAAGTTGAATTGGGTGCTAAAGTAAAACCTGACAACTTGTACCACCCAGAGGATTTGCTCCCAAATTGGGCACTACGTGGATCAATATTTTCAATACAATGTTTATGCAAATGAAAAATTTGGACAAGACCAAATGTTAGACCTGTTTACTTAAGTTGGTGGCCCTATTGTGATCAGATTTGGCCATGGGAAGCCGAGGGAGGTCTAAGGATTAAAATAATTCAAGAGAAGATGCAGCGTAACAACATAATATGGTATGATTATATAAATTAATGCATGGAGCACACTAAAGTCAATGCCACCCCTTGGGGCATGAGACCTCTTGCTGTTAATACAATTCTCCTTGAGCACTCCAAGACTCAACTTCTGGATAAATACCATCAGGCAGATTTCATCTATATAGGCCAAGTTTGGGCAAAGGATTTTGTTCTTTGCTTGTTGCTTTCAAGATTGGATAGTTTAGCACAAGAGTTCTCTGCTGAAAACTATTGTTTTCAAAAGTTATCACATTTCATGCTAAAAATTCTAGACTTAAGATGTCAATGCAACCATGTCTGTGCTTTGAAGTGGTTAGATATTCAAGACTACAAAAGTTAAAAAGTTTGTTTGTACAAATAAAATAAATTAAGCAAATTGTAAAGTTATTAAATTATTTATTTATTGTTAAAATGATTTACAATATTGCAAAGTAATTCTTGTCTATATATTGGAGTATGTTTAAAATAATTCATAATATGCACATTTGTGTGTATCTCTTATATAAAAGAGCTCAAGGGGGACAAATATACAAGAGGAGATAGAATGGCTTTCTAATTTGTTGCATGTCTCATTGTTTTTTTTTATCAAAAGTAATCATCAAAAGTGAACCAAAATTGAGATTAATTGAGATATTAATTGTAACATTAATTGACATTAGGAGGATTGACTACAGAAGTGAAGGGCAACTGGAGCAAGATTGGGAGGACTATGGTGACAACATTGGTAGGATTGACAGCTGGAGTAATAACATTGTTTGGGAAGTAGATAGGCACTGGAACATGATGGATGTGCACAACAAGGTGTTGGAAGGATTTGTGGCAATCACAACATTGTGCACTATGGTATTTCTACAGGCAAGTATTATCTGTGGATTTGGATCTACATAGGTGTTGATCAGATTGAACAAGCTCAAATAAGAATCAAATGATATAAAATTGGCTGATGACTTAAAATCTAATAAGATGAATAGTAATTTTTTGTGTGTACTGAAAATCATTATATTGGTTTTTGCTAGGTGTGGCATTTTCATCTATAAGAGAAAGGTTGATATTTTGTTGATATTGACATTGATGCTAAGACTTAGTGAGTCATTTGTTCTGTCCTATTCCATACAAAGGTGTCATGATAGTATTTCTCTTCACATTTAGATTTCTCTTTAGTCCAAGAAAGTTTGAAGCTATACTAAATTACATCAGGTTTCCTACAGAATGCATAATTTTTTTAACATGCTCTGGGCATTAAACTTTATAGGTTCCATCTAGCATATTCTTATTATGTGCATTGATGAATCCGTGATCTAAGTTTGATCTATTTTGTTGAATTGTTAAATTAAGCAATATTTAAATGTAAACTTGTGAATATTAAAAATATCAACAAAATAAATATTGTAAATATTCTAAAGTGTTTTGTGAATAATTTATAATATTGATTATAAATCTTAAATGTCCTTCAATGTATTCATTAAATTAATATTAATTCTAATAAATTAAAAAAATAATTCCAATGATTAATTAAAAGAAATAATAATTATTTTAATTAAATAAATAATTATAAAATAGTATTAATATTAATTTAATAAATTATTTTATTTATTAGCTCATTAATTTTTTAAAATGATATTTATAATAAATAAAAAACAAGTAAATAATAAATAATAAGTAAATTATTTTAATTAATTATTGAAATTATCATATTAAAAATTATATAATTAATAATCAATCTTATGTTCAATGGAATAATTATAAATATTTTAATATTATTTATAAATACTTTTAATATATTATAAAGGAGAAATATTATAAATATTAGTATTTTTTTATTAATGGACTATGCAAACAAAGCTGATTATCTTTGGCTGTAGAATTATTTAATATTTAATTAAGATAGGCAAGCTAGAATAGATTATTATTGTTGTTGTTAAGGTTTTTAAGGAAAAAAACCAATTAATCACAATGAGATCTTTTAAGATTTTTGTTGCAAGTACATTTGGTTTCATTAATAATTTATTTTTTTATAGCTATTTACAAAGTTTTTATTTGTGAAAACTTACTTGATTGTATAGCACTCTATCTCTTATGTAAAATAGCTCAAGGGAGATAAACCAATAGGATAAATAAGAGGAGACAAAAATCATTTCTAAATGGATGCATATCTTATTATTTTCAACAAAAGTGAAAAAAAAATAAAACAATAATTCAACTTTTGATCAATCAAAGATCAAAATTTATATACTATTATTGCAGATTGCCAAGAGTAGTAATGTAAGATTAATAGGCATAGAGCTTGGAGCACCCAATCAAGGTGGTAAAAAGCAATGCTATCTTTTACAACTAATACATAAAATTATATTTTACATTTTAAAATATTTGATCTAATTTGTGATCAACAGCATGGAATATTTTATTTATATTTAAAATATATAAATGTAATGTATATATTTGATTTTTTTTATGACCAACAGTATGGATTTCTATCACCTGATAAAACCACATCCTAATCTTGTTAAAGCCATGCATCCTTGCCATTTCATAATTGATTTTATCCATCCTTGTCTTTATCTTCCATTTCTAGTCTCATATCCACATTCTCCTCCCTTGTTCCTTATCTCCTCCCTTTCCCTCCCTTATTTCCATTCTCAACCTAGGATGGGTCTTATTTTATAATCCTTCCATCAATACTTCAACAATGTAGATGTTGTTATCATAGTTTTGCTTGTGCTTTTGTATTTTGAATCATAAATTTACAAAAGGTGTACATGAATTCATGCAAAATTCTTATTAAGCAAAGTCTAGATCTAGCTTATTTTTTAAAATTATTTATCTTTGGGTATCAAATTAGCATAATGAGCAAGCTTCGACATGGAATGAAGGACGGTAATAGAGATTGGAGACAAAAAAATTAAGGGGGGACTGAGGATAGGAGACTGGAGATGGATAGAATCAATTATGAGATGGCAAGAAGGTTGTAGCTTTAAAAACATTGATATGTGACTTTATCAACTCCCTATATATATTATTAAATCATAAAGATTAATTATATAATTTTTATTATTTAAAATTTTATCAAAAATATATAATAACAAATATAAATTATAAATTAAACATCAAAATATTATACAAAGGTAATACTATTTTTATATTTTGATTTTTTTTACAAGTATATTTTAAAGCAATAATTATTATATATTTTTAAAAATATATAATATTATGATTACTAATACTTAAATTTTATATATATTTAAATAATATATGTAATTCTTTTAATGTATAAATAATATTTCATATAAAATAAATATATTTAAAACTTTATAAGGCATATATATATATATATATATATATATATATATATATATATCATATTAAAGTGGTTTTTTAATCTTTCATTATATAATATATTATTTATTTATTTATTTTACTTACATATTATTATATTTATCAACTTCTTAAAAAATAAAGAATAATTTCTTTAGAGATAGATATTAGATTTTGTGTAAAATAATTTTTTTAATAATTCAAATTAATATAATAACATAATTAAATTTAAAATATTAATTATTGTGTATTTTTTTAATTTTATATAATAAATATTATATAAGTAAAAATATTAAAAAATAATTATTTTTTATTTAATATCATTTTTATATTTTTGTAACAATATAATTAATTATTTTAGAGTATTGATATAATAAAAAATTAAATTAAATTCACTCTCTTAACTTTGTCTTTTTTATATAATTTGAAAGTTTGTGGGTGGCATATAATATTATATTTAATTGAAATGCATATTTTTGAAATAATGTTGGAAATAGGCAAGTAATTTGCAGCTTTTAAATTGGTTGCAAACATCCTCAATGGAAAAAATGGCTAAAAGGAACCAACCTAGATGTTTTGATAGCTAATATTGCAATCTTTACATACTTAGTTATACAGTGTAAATTAATCTTCAATAATATATGCCATCAAGCTTATAAGTCAAAATATCTAAAGTTACAAATTTTTCGCACTTAGAGTTGTTAAAAAATAAAAAATAAAAATATATTAATCTACAAATGATCAATTATAGCTTTTATCTAAATAATCTCTACAATCCTTTCTTATTTTAAAAGATGCCATTCATTTTTTTTGCAATGAATTTTATATTATATTGTATGCAAATCTTTTTAAATGTTGATAAAATTTCAATTTCTAACTATTTCAATGTTTATGATTTTTTTTATTAGAAACAAATTCAACAATATATAATTTAAAATCTAGTACTTCCATTATTAAATAATTGTATTATTATTTAGACTTAGTTATTTATAAAAATAGAAAATATAAAGCAATAACACAATTTCAAAATAATTTATTATAATTTCAAAATAATAATTGGCATCAAAAAGCATTTATAGCTTCATTACATATTAAGATACTCTTTTGGAATATTGAATTATATCATATAAGCTTGCAATCTAAGCAAAGCAAAAAAGAAATCTTTTAAATGTCATATATACCACCTTCAAAAAAACCATTGATAAGTTTTATAATGAAATACTTATAAAATATTAATAATAATTTTTATTAAGATAAGATATAGAAATTTTTAAAAGCCCAAAAATTTTACTTATATTATTAAGTTTGAATGGAGTATTCTTCTACTTCCAATCTGTTTGACAATAATTAAATATATGTTATTTTTTTGAGGTGGAAATTTCTTGAACTGATGAGGCATAAAATCAACAGAGGTTTCCAAGATACATATGAGTATAAAAACTTGAATAGTATATTCACAAGACATTAATAGATTGAATTTTTATGATGATTATTATTCAAGCTAAAGACAACATAATGTGTTGACTATAAAAAAAAAATGATTTATAAAACATCCAAGCATGTACACAAATATTATTATTTATAAAGTGATAATCTTATAACCCAATGAGCTACAATTGTTTTATCAATAGGCACCTTACCTCAAGTATTTATTTTATCTTGTGCTTTAATAAGTTTTAGATTTAATTATTAAAAATTAAAATTAGAATTATGAAAAAATAATTTTAGAAAAATGCATGAGCAGCACATTGATAGATACCAATCCACTAATTAATCAAGGAAGAAGAAGAATAGAATAATTTTAAAAATATATATATACTAGAAAATACTAGAACAATTGATTAACTTTGTATGTCCACAATGGTGTTGCAAGATGTGTATTGTCCACTTTATATTCGTGATTCTTGATTGTATATCAAAATTGCATGGCTTTCCAAGTAAATTTGAGCTAATTGTAGGAATCAGACATTATAAACATAGTGTGTAAAATATATAGACAGTTTGAAAATCTTCGCTTGCCATAAGAAATTTTGATATTTGAACAACTTTGTCACCCACTATTTTGTCATCACAAAAGGCATCATCACTCCCGACAAAGATTGAAAATTTTGTTAGCAGCTGGTGGGCTCAAGCCATTACAGCATGATGCTGTAGAATCAACATTGTAGTGGTATGATAGATCACATGTCAGTGGCATGACTAGTCAATGATAAAGGAACTAACGTTTTGGGCATGAGAAAATTACAAAAGACATGCATAAAATTTAGTATTTTTATTCAGGTTCACAAGAAGGAAGGAAAATGAAGGATATTGAATGACAAGGATTGCGCCTGAATATATTATTCGCTTACGATCACATTTCATAAATTGGTAATGTATAAGATTGGTTTTTGTATAATTATACTTGCATGCTGAAAACTGCATCAAACTGGAATTAAGGTCTACCCTTCCTGCAGCCAATGTACTCTAAATCCCGTACTCAAGCAACAAATTCTACCGACATGAGAATTCCCTGTCGGCAAGAACCTATTTGGTACGAGAACTGAAAGCAGGAGGACGCACAAGTTAACGGAAAAAACTCGTTCAAATTAACGAATCAACAGGAGATCCCATCTACTCTGTGATGTAAATCCCTCACTCCATTACACCTGCATATCAAAAACTTGAGATTGCCAGTCTGCCATTCCAAGTCAACAATATGAAACAACCATTGATAATTGAAAATAACCGCACGCATGAAGGACAGTACACCAGAAAGAAAACGCATCAAGTCCTTTCAAACTCAAACTGATGACCAACTGAAATATGAGTACATCACCCACTGCAGCCATTCAGTCATGAAATTTGATCGATGGACATTAGAATCAGTTTACCATATATACAAAATGTATCACAGCCTAAAATGTATAAGCTATAGAAACAAATAATACATTACAATGGTTGGCTTTCATACATCAATTTGACTACTTTGTATCTTCTCAGCAACCATGCACCTCCCACAAGCATAACCAAGCATGCAGAAAGGGTCATAAACCCAGGATGCTCGTAAGCAGCCTTATTGCTCCTTCCGTTCGGTGTCACCTTTCTGCACCTTCACATAAGGTACAACTCCCAACAAGTAATCTATCCTTGGATTCCAGTTCAGCTGCTGTGCTCGGCAATACTGCAGGAATGTGTTGCCAAAATATGAGTTGAAACCCTCAAGAATATGCCACAAAGCATGCCCTTGGGGATTCACCTTTAACTTGCATATCCAGCTGCACAAGTGCCGATCCGCCAGCCAACAAATTGCACCAAGTGCGAGACAGAGAACATAAAGATGAGCTAATTTTCTCGCCAGCGGATCTTTCGTGTACATATAATACTTGTACATCCTTGGAAGACAGAGCAACGCCAGGAAAACATAATGTATTTGGAACCCTGCAACAAATCTAAACTGCGAGTGCAGAATGGCAAAGATAGTTCCGTACAGGAACAGGACAGTGGGCATTGTACTGCGATAATGCCAATCGGGAGAGTAAAGTACATAGATGTAAAGAAGCATTGCCCATACCATAGGCGTCTCATCGCTTTGCTGTTGACTGCTCGTTAAAAGTTGGTCACATGCACAGCCAAATGACAAGTGTGTAAGAATCTCATAGAACTTCCAAATACAATATGTAACTTGCTGCATGATCAATACCTAGGCCAATCAATGGAAGTGAGTTCGTGCGGAAGGAAAACCACATTAATTCACTTATTTAACAAGCGATAACTAGAGATTCAAAGATGTGGTGAATAGTTTGGCTAAGGAAATCTCACAAGGTATTTTAACGTTAAACCTTACATGAAGGACTCAGTCGGTTCGGCAAAACAAATTAAAATGTAAAAAAGGAATTTTACTGAATGATTCCAGTTCTCTCTAAAGAAATCCCCAAATAGGAAAAGATAAGAGAGCTTACGCATATTTAAGGGTGGCATGGAAGAGAATACTACCGATGCCCAACGCGATTGTTGATAAGTGAAGAACACTGAACCGCCTCTCAAATTTTTGACTGATGGAATAATAGACACCTAAGAATGCAAGAATGATACCCGGGATATTAGATATGGTATTGTAGAACTCAGCCACTAGTGACGTGACCTGATAGTTCATTTCACACCATTCCGTGCTTGCAGTAATGGGACCCCAGAACCCTTGAGTCACAGAGGGGGTAAAAACCTCCCCAGCCATGGAAGCAAGAGAGAGCCCAGAAGTCGAATTGCCTCTCTCCCCCTCTGACTCTTAGCTTGAACTCTTGCGGACGCTCTTCTCCATTTTGGGTACAGGTTCAACTGAATCTGTTAACTCGAGATTGACCTGGATACAGAAGATATTCAGAATGACAACTGTTCAACATGAAAGAAACCGAATCTTGAACATGTAATCTACCTAATGAAATTGTAAAAAGCGTGTGGGCACAAATTAACAAAACGCACTACAAAATCTATCACCATTCAATACACACTCAACTAGAGTTCTAAACTTCAAGGAAATATTCCAGTGAGAAAGAGGCACCTAAAAAGACAAACGAGGCAATCAATACGTAGGGCAGATAGGATTTCCGAACCTGCTAGAGAATCACATATCAGAAGCTGTCACTCACACAAGTTTTTCGCCGAGACTCTCTGGCCATCAAAGGCTCTACCCAGTGCAAGCTAACAGTGCTGAATTGTACCTGAAACCACGAAATGAAAGAATGAAAAACTGGGTAAATTGAATGACAAGTTTAGTGTCACACTTCGTAAAAGCTATGGCATTAAATCCACGGTAACCGAAGGTTTTGGGATCAATCCAAAAGCTCTAGAAATCCTTCGTCCCAGTATCCAACACGTCAACAAATTTTGAACTGCTTGAGCAGCTTAAGGCAAAGTGACTGAAATTCGACTGATGTCTTGTCCTAGAGAAGTCATAATACTCGAGAGTGAACCAAAAATTCATTCAAGAATTCCACGAATATGGCCTACTCTCTCAACCAAGCGCACTGTTAGTGTAGAGGAAATCAACAAGAAAGGAGACCTCAAATTGGTGATCTCTACCCTGAGCATCTGCATTCCCAGTTAAAAAATGGGAACCAATAGAAAATCTTTCAGATCGAGTCGCACGCGAACACAAAAAGACGGCAAAAAAGCCAAGGAATCTGGGGACTGAAGACTTTGTCCAGCTTACACACACGATGAAGACCGACAATAAAGTCCTCGCAGCAGTTCAAACACAGCCTGCAAGGAGGGACACAATACACCCCATGCACTCAGATCCCTTACACAAAACCGAACATCACACATAGATGGACCTCACCCGACTATTTCAACCTTTTTGCATTAATTTAGCCCAATCTACTAAAAAAAACGCCATCAACCCTACAGCATCTCAGGAAACCCCCGCACCGCGACATAAAAAGAGCCGGAAACTTCGTTAAGAAAACACGAACGCTGTTCATCTCAACTATCCGTTTCTCTTGTCACCCTTTCCATTCAAACACCAAAATCCCACCGACATAACTTTCCTAAGATCTGCTACCGAAATTTTAATTACCCACAAAAGAGTTAAAATTTCAAAGGAGGAGAAAGAAGAAGATCGGGACTACTATCACGTACTCAGTTCACAAGAGTACTGAGTTAAAATCGACTCCCCTCGCACGCAACACTGATTAGCTGAGCAAGAGTAGGAAACCCTAACACATCGAGAGAAAGAGTGAGGGAAAGAGAAAGAGAAAACACCCGCAACCCTCACAGCAGCATACTCTCTCATTCATTCATTCATTCATTCAACACGAGAGTGTCTCGAAATCGCACTCACTCACTCTTTTACTAGCACACTCGCACTCTCTCCCTACTCACTCACTCACACACATGCAGAGAGCGACATCACAATTAGGACAACTCTCCCAGAAGAAGAAAGAAATAAGATTCCCCCTCCCCCCTGTGAAGTAGCGGCGGCGGTGAACGTGGTGAAGCCAAGTGCTCCCCCCATCACGAGAATTAAGATTCAGGGAACCAGGAAGGAAAAAGAAAAAGAGAAAAGGAAAGGGAAGGGAAAGAGATGGGAAAGATTCCTGGAGCATTCTCGGGTTGAAGCATTGCGTGATACTTTCTGTTGAGAATGTTTAGAAAGACACAAGAGTAATAGTAAGTCATACACAAACACAAGAGTAGTAGTAAGTCATACACACAAGAGGGTTTCTAAGGAGAGAGAGCTTCACACCCAAAAAAAATCTATGAATCTAGTTGTGTCTCATATACAAGAAAAGAAAAGAGGAGAGGATAAACAGTACTTCTCCACTAGTCTCTAAATATTGTAGCTATGGTAATTATTGTAGTCTACAGTAAATATTATGGAGAGCGCCGTCTACATTTAATGATCTCAACACTCCTCTTCGCTCATCATAATATTTACATAATATAAATTTTGTATAGAATTATGATCTATACTTTTCTGTGATTTTGCAAGATCAACAATTGTTGCCTCATTAAAACCTTATCTAGGAAAACCTTATTTTATTTAAGGACAAAACCATAGATGAAGGAAAACAAGTACATCATTTTTTTTAATTATTTAAGGAGCTCATTAACTTTCTTATTCAAGAAAATCAAGTCACAGCATACCAATGTCATAAGTAAGTCGACGATGGTTGCTTAACGGGAGAGCTTTGGTGAAGAGATCAACAAGGTTATTTGTAGATTCAATTTTCTTAATTATAGGTGTTTGATCAGTAATCAAGTCATGAATATAACTAAAATACTTTGGATCAATATGCTTTGTCCTGTCGCCTTTAATGAAACCAACTTGCATCTGTGTAATACAAGCAATATTATTTTCATGCAAGATTGTTGGAGAATCATCATATGAAAATCTACAAGTTGTTTGAATGAATTTATCAATTGATCGCAACCAAATACATTTTCGAGATGCTTCATGTAAGGCAATAATTTCTGCATGGTTGGATGAAGTTACAGTTATTGTTTGTTTCACTCATTTCCATGATATTGTAGCTCCATGTCTTAAAAATACATATCTTGTTTGAGATTTAGCTGTTGCAATATCAGATTTATATCCTGCATCACAATATCCAACCAATTTTGGATCTGTGGATTTTATGTAGTATAATCCCAAGTCTTCAGTACCTTTTAAATAACGTAATAAATGTTTGATCCTATTCCAATGTCGTAGTGTTGGACGTGCATTATGTCTTGCAAGAACACTAACTCCAAATGCAATATCTGGTCTTGTAGATGTAGCTAAATACAAAAGTATTCCAATCGCTATGAGGTATGGATATTAGTCTCCCGATATTTCCTCCTCCTCGTATGGACGGTATGGATCATGACCATCATGGCCACGTCCAACCATTGGTGTGGACAATGGATAAGCATCAATCATATTAAATCTTCACAAGATTCGTCTAATATACGTTAGTTGGTAGAAAAAAATGCTATCATCTGTTAGATGCATAATCTGAAGACCAATGCAGAAAGTTGTTTTTCCTAGCATTTTCATCTCAAATTCACATATAAGTAGGTTTGTAGTTGTAACACATGCAGATGTAGTGCCTACTAGGTTAAGATCATCAATATATACAATGATGATCACAAAACCAGTTTTATCTCGTTTGATAAACAAAAAAGGAATTACTCAATCACTTATAAAATTATTTGTAATTAAATAATCTCGAAGACATTGATACCACATTTTTTTGGATTGTTTTAAACCATATAAGGCCTTATATAATTTAATACCACGATATTTTCCTGGAGCGGGTTGATTTGGAGTTCCTCTTTTTAAGTCAGGTGGAACTTTCATATAAATATTTGCATCAAGAGAAGCCTATAGATATGCAGTTATTGCATCCATCAAATGCATCTCAAGGGTGGCATGAATTGTTATTCCAATAATATATCGAAATGTAATTGAATCCATGACTGGAGAATATATGGATTCATAATCAATACCAAATTATTGAGTAAATCCTTGAGCAACAAGACAAGCTTTATAGTGGGTTATTTGGCCTTGAACATCTCGCTTGCATATTAATACCATTTTATATTCCACAAGGCAAGATGTAAGAGTGTCTACAATTGGACCAAAGACTTTCCTCTTATGCAAAGAGGCATACTCCTCCTCAATAGCAGTTTTTCATTTTGACCAATCTGAGCAACGCATTGCCTCTTCGATGGTTTGAGGTTCAAAATCGTCTTCCTCACAAGAAAGGACTTCTATAATCATATATGAAAATGATTCATCTACCGTAATAGATGGTGTGTCCCAAATATCATTTGTAGTACAATACAGAATAGATAATTCTTTACTCAACTTATTCTTATTCCTTCCAATTCCAAGATTGTTTTTCACAGGAATTGAAGGTACATTATGCATGGATATATCATCATGAATTGGTAGTCTTGTAAGATGAGTGGCAATTTCTTGAAAAATAATACTAGGATTAATTAATTTTATAGCTTTCTTCTTATGTGGTTGCTTATCTGATCCATGAGTTCTTTTAGTTGTTATTGTTATAACTTGAGTTATTGTAGTCAATGGCACAATCTAAGCAGGTGCATTCTGAGCCTCATTAATAAGAACTCTTGTAATTCTAGGTGCATCATTGAAGCCATCAGGTATTTCATCCACGATCCGTTTTAATTGTAAAATCTTAGCAACTTCAGTTTCTACCAAAGATGTTTTAGGATCGGGATTCATTGTAAACATTTTTGGTACTTCAAATATGAGTACTTTATTTCTTTATTGATTGGATACTCTTCCTTGAAGAGATGGGAATATAGTTTCTTCAAAACGATAATTTTGCAAACGTGTACATAATAATGTGCCAGTTGATAGATCAATAATATGAATAATGCTTGGTGAATCAAAATCAACATATATGCCTTCTTGTTGATGAGCTCCAATGGTACGCCATTCAGGTTCTAGTACTGGAATCCAAGCACGGCAACCAAATACTCGTAAGTGAGATACATTTGGAATACGACCCAAAATGAGCTCATGTGGTGAAACAATTTCAAGAGAAGAAGGGTGGAGGCATATTAATGCTGCAACATGTAAAACTACATGACCCGACATAGATGCAGGTAGATTTGCGTGAAGGAGGAGTGGCCGGGTAATAAGTTGTATACACTTTATAAATGACTTTGCAAGTCCATTTTGAACATGTTCATATAGAACACAATATATCAACTCGATTCCTGTTGTAGTACAATAGTCTTCAAAAGACTTTGATGCAAATTCTTTTGCATTATCCATACGTAATATTTTTATAGGATAATCAGGAAAATGTGCCCAAAAGTGAATAAGTATAGATATAAGATTGGCAAACACCATGTTTCGAGTTGATAATAATGAAACATGTGATTGTTTATGTGATGCATCAATAAGGACCAAAAAATAACGAAATGGTCCTAATATTCGATTAATAGGACCACAAATATCACCATGCAATCTTTCAAGAATTGGTGGTAATTCTTGTAGAAGTTTCCAAATTGAAGGTCGAGAAATCATTTTACCTTGCACACATGTATGATATAATTCCATAGAGTCTACATCTGCAGGCTTTAAATTGTGCCCAGTTATATATGGAATGATCTTTCTAAATAATGTGGATCCTAGATGTCCCAATCGTCCATGCTAAAGAGAAACACGACTCTCTAAGATAGATGATAGAAAATTAAATATAATGGGAGGTCGAATCATAATTCGGTATAAACCATTTTCTATAACAAAAGCTTTTTCAATAACTTTATGGTTCTTTGCAAGAATCAAAACCTCTTTTCTATTTAAAGTAGCGGTCGAGAGATGATAACCGTTAATACGCACATCTCGATAGCTGATTAGACTTTGAGGAGCTGAGGGTGCAAACATTGCATGTTTACATTTTATGATGAAACCTGCAGGTAATTTTACCATTGCCGTGCCCTCTTGGAAACAAAACGCATTTGCTTCAACCATGGTCATCATATTTTTAGTTTGCCACGTTGAAGATTTTTCAATAAAAAATTGTCTATCTCGCAAGATAGTATGTATTGTTGCATAATCAATGAGTGCATCATTTGATTCATCATCAGAGGTTCTATCATTCATATAAGCCTCTAAGTTATCAACACCAATTGAATCTATGGAGGCATCCATGGTATGAACTTCACGAGCCTCATCTCGCAATTTCTTATTTTCTTGGAACATTTTAATAAAATATTCTGAAGTATGGCACGCATGTGCTAAATGTTCAATCATTCCACACTTATGACAAGAATGCATCTCTGATTTTTTTTTTCTACTATAATTAATAGTAGAATGTTTATTCTTTCTATATGGGTAGAATTGGTCTTGACTATGACTACCCTGATACTTATGAGCACGTTTCTCATGTTTATATAATTTCTTCTTAGACTTTAAAATATTAAGTGCATGAGATTCTAGAATTGTAGTTCCAATAGCACGAGCTTCTGCATTGCACAAGAGTAGCTCATTTTGCTTCTTTGCAAGAAGTAGATAGGACATAAAAACAGAATGACTCTGAAATTTCATGTTCCCATATTGTTGTGCAAGCACAGCAGATATAGGAGGAAATGTAGAGAGAGTTTTTCAAACATTTCTTCTTTAGAAATGCTTTATCCACATAATCGTAATTGTGAGACAATACTATAGATTTCACTATTGAAAGCATTTAAATTTGGAAAATTCAAGACACGTAAATGTGTCCAATTATGATGTGCACATGGAAGAAAAATGGTCTTTTGATGATCAAACGTAGATTTAAGATTCTTCCAAAGTTCTCCAAGATCTTCTATTTTCAAATATTGATGTTGTAATGCAAGTACAAGATGACGACGAAGGAGAAGAAGTGCTTTCCAACGAATAGCTCGAGGTATAGAAATACTTATTGTAGGAGATTCTTCAAATATAATGGCATCTGAAAGTTGTTCTGCTAATAAATTTGTT